GATTTCAGCAAATGCTGAAAGCCCAGGGCCTCTGAGTTGGTTAGGCCCTGGGCATCTGAACGTGAGGCCGACAATGCATGCTGGAAAGAGAGGCCGAAAATGCCAGAGGGAAATCGGCCCACTGTCTGAATCTGGCCGCAGGCCTTGATGAAGGAGGCGCAACTGCCTTACCCCGGGGCCCAACTGTATCGAGTTGGCTTCAGCCTCTGGGCCCCGGACACAGGCTGAAGGGAGGCCGCCCACACACTGCACTGGCATATAGGCAAGCAGGGCGAGGCAGTGGGGATCTTGGCCAATGCTGGCATATGCGGGCACGCTGCGCAGATGCAAGTGTGCTGCGCTAATGCGGAGCAGCGCTGCGCTAAGAAGAAGCAGGGCAGCGCTAGGCGGTAGGGCGCTGCCTGCTTGCAGAGCACTGGCGGCCATAGCCAGGCCGCAAGAGGGTGCAGGGGAGGTGAGGGCGAAGGTGGTGCTTCGGAGGTGAAGGGCACTGTGTGGGTAACAAGGGAGAGTGTGGGGAAGATGACACGTWCCTGGTGATGGTGGAGGTCTGCATTGGTGTTGACATCATCACTCGCTGGTAGTCAAGTTGTCTGGTTGCTGTTCATTGCTGTAGTCGTAGGATAGGTTGTAGAGTAGATAGGGCGCCTGGCGCCATTCACAAGAGAGAGCTACATTTGGGTTATGCTGTTGGTGTTGCCCTGGTGGGCATGGACATTGACTCACGATTCTTCTGTATCATTCTCAATGGGATGGTTACTCGGTTCCATGTGCTATCTGCTTTGGCCTTGAATACTTGGACTTCAGTGTGATTTTGCATTCCGGATTTCTGTGCTTCGTCCATACTCATGTTCCTTGCAAAAGTTAGAACATACTTTCTTAATTTTTCATTTTATTTCACTATATTTTTAGGCTCGGGCGGGCCAGTGGTCCCCAAATTCTTCACCAAATTTAAAATAAAAAATAAAGTTCATGCTTTTTTAATTTTTCATTTTATTTCACTATATTTTTTGGCTCGGGCGGGCCAGTGGTCCCCCATGCCACTCTGGTAGCCTAGTCAATCACGGAATAAGGAGAGAGAAAAGGAAGAGAAGTAAGAAATGAGGGGGCCACTCAGTCTGTCGTTTCTTCCTTGTGTACATCTGTGCTCAACAGTCTGTTTCTTCCTTTGGGAAAAAAGTCATAGAAGTTGAAACTGCCCGCGACGAAACCTTTGTGGGCAAAAAGTGCCCCAGGCCTCAAAGGCCCCAAAGGCCCCAAAATGACTTTTCTCTTCATTTTGCCACCCTGGAAAACACTTGCCTGCCACTTTTGCCAGCGGCCGTTACCGGCCCAGCCAGGGTGCAAAAATGACTCCAAAAGTCGTTTAGGGGCCTGCCCCCTGCGACACCTTTTGCCCCCTTTGGGGGCAAAATGAATAAAAAGGTTTCGTTGCGGGGAGGCTCTATAACTTTTCCCCTGTTCTTTTAGAACTAAGTTTTTTTTTTCTTTTTTTTTTTTGAGGTTTCCGTTTTGAATTTTGCCTCCGGTCAAAGCTTTGACTGTGACAGCGGGGGTGAAGAGCGTTGCTGAACTGATTTTGACATCACGACTGCAGTTCGAACCGTTGAACTGAATTCGGTCGCAGCCGTTTTTTGTTCCTGCTGTTTACAAATGCATTGTTGGTTTTCTTGGGTCCAGATTTCTGACCAGGGGAAGAAGCTCTTTCCTCCTCTCCCCCTCCCCCGCCCCTCCCACCGCCCCCGGCCCCCGGCCCCCGGCCCCCCAGGCCCCAATAAGATAAGAGTGGATCCATCTGCGGCAGTGAAGAACCCGTCTAAGGGCCTCACCGCACTACAGTCTTCACCCGAATACAACATACCATCATTATTATAGCTGTATTTGGGGCAACTTTGAGTCTAGGTACAGTGATAATGACCTTATGTTGTATTCGGGTGAAGACTGTAGTTACTGTAGCCCTGCACAGATTTCTGTTGGTTGGACCCTGTTACTCTATTTTACCACCAGTCATTCCGAAAGTCTTGGACGGTCGTATATGAGCTGTGACCCGCTGAACCGAACGGGCCTGGCGGCTCTGGACCACATTCATTCAAGTGGAAACGCTGCAGCTCTAGTTTTTGCTGCAGCCGATGTATGGGCTGTGACCCGCTGGGCCGAACGGGCCTGGCGGCTCTGGACCACATTCATTCAAGTGGAAACACTGCGGCTCTAGTTTTTGCTGCAGCCGATGTATGGGCGAAGTATTGGTCCTGGACCAGTCCAAATTCATTCAAGTTGAAGTCCTGGACCAGTCCAAATTCGTTCAAGTTGAGGTCCTGGACCAGTCCAAAATTCTCCAAATTCATCCAAGTTGAAGTGGAAACGCGGCGACTCTATTTGTTGCCGAGGCCGATGCATGGGTGAAGTAGTGGTGATTTCAAAACTAAAACTCACCCAAAGGGAGTCCCCGCTGTGCACACTCACCCCAATTACTCAAGTTGTCCTATGGGTGGCATAAAATAAAAAAGACACCAAATGTACTCTAGGTGGGCATAAAACATTGTCAAAGGAAGAACCCAAATGTGCTCTGAGTGGGCATTCAACAGAAAGAAAATGACAGAACAGTCCAAAGTTTGAAACGCTAATCTGGACCTAGATGTACAAAAAAAAAGAAGAAGGGAAACTCACCCCACTAGGTAAGCTTCCCCCCTCCCCTCCCCCCCCTCCCCTCCCCTCCCCCCCCGCCCTCCAGAATTTTTCTCACGCAGAGAAAAGTCCCTTGGAGGTGACTACTCATCTCTCTCTCTGTTTCGAAATGTTTTCATATCGGGCTTTGACGTGAAGGTGGGGTGGGTCCTCTCGCGCCTGCCCGCACCCAGAACTGCATCTGCTCCCCAAAGGGCCCAAAGTGATCAGCCTTCGGTCAAAGGGGGAAAAAAAAAAGGTGGCGTGCGTGAGTTAAGCAACAACTTAATCTAAGTTACTCACCTGTGGCCTATCCTGTCAGGACAACCATTTGCTGCCGTTACCAGCAATCACCGCGGGTCTGCTCCTTGGCCTCTACAACACCCTGGGCTTGAAAAAAAAAAAAAAAAGTTACTCACCAGAACAGTTACTGGGATTTGGGTGAGGAGCACAGCTGCTCGCAGCCCCACACTGAGTTCTAGAACTGTGACATCTCATGTTTTTTCGGTTTATTTTTATTTTTATTTTTTATTTTTTTTATTTTAATGTGTGTGTGTGTGTGTGTGTGTGTGTGTGTGTGTGTCGTACGACTGCCAGAAACTTGCGATATGTATTATGTACATATTACTGTGTGGGTTTCTATGGGTTTCGTTTCCATCGGACAGAAGACCAGGATTGGAACTGATAATCTACTCGTGATCTGTTTGCAAAACAGTTTCATGTCTGGAACGTTGTTGACCCACACGGGCGGAGTTTGTAGTAGTTTTTTTTTCTAGTGTGAGTTTGTACTAGTTTTCTAGTGTGTGCTGACGTCTCTCGTGTAAGACGGCGGCAACAACAGTTTTTGCACAGTAATCACCTCCAAAACCCAAAGGATTGTCACTCTGAGAAGCAGGGCATTTATCTACGACAGATTTGGAATTTTGGATGGATCACCAAACTCTGTATCCCCAATTTTTTTTGATTTTTTTTAGTGCAAGGAACATGAGTATGGACGAAGCACAGAAATCCAGAATGCAAAATCACACTGAAGTCCAAGTATTCAAAGCCAAAGCAGATAGCACATGGAACCGAGTAACCATCCCATTGAGAATGATACAGAAGAATCGTGAGTCAATGTCCATGCCCAACAGGGCAACACCAACAGCATAACCCAAATGTAGTAACCATCCCATTGAGAATGATACAGAAGAATCGTGAGTCAATGTCCATGCCCAACAGGGCAACACCAACAGCATAACCCAAATGTAGCTCTCTCTTGTGAATGGCGCCAGGCGCCCTATCTGCTCTACAGCCTATCCTACAACTACAACAATGAGCAGCAACCAGACAACTTGACTACCAGCGAGTGACGATGTCAACACCAATGCCGTATTCCACCATCACAAGGTACGTGTCATCTTCCCCACACTCTCCCTTGTTACCCACACAGCGCCCTTCACCTCCGAAGTACCACCTTCGCCCTTACCTCCCCTGCACCCTCTTGCGGCCCGGCTATGGCCGCCAGTGCCCTGCATGCAGATAGCGCCCTACCGCCTAGCGCTGGCCTGCTCTGTCTTAGCGCTGCGCTGCTCTGCATAGCGCTGCACACTTGCATCCGCGCAGCGCGCCCGCATATGCCAGCATTGGCCAAGATCCCTGCTGCCTCGCCCTGCTTGCCTATATGCCAGTACAGTGTGTGGGCGGCCTCCCTTCAGCCTGTGACCAG